TGTGGACTATAGGCAAACGCGGAGATAATTCGCACAGCGAATTATCAACGTTTTCCCAGTAATTACGCGAGATCTCCCGCCAGACCGCGGCGATATCGAATTAATTCTACGCGCGATCCCGCCGACGTACATGACATTTTTCGCCCTCCAGTCTTCGTTTGCGTTTACAATGGAAATGTTAAGCGAGTCGTGGATTCGCAACGCTCGTCACTCTTGTTCGTCGCCCGACAAAGCGGTTCTCCCGTGTCCGCGGACGTCAATTTAAGCGCGCGAGCGAGGGCGCCGAGAGTTTGACGCGTTCACAATCGCTGCCATCGTTGACGGACGAAAGATCATCGTGAAACGTTTCTCGAGGGACTGTCTATCGCCGGCGCAAATCGTTCAACGATAACTGCTCCATGAATTATTGGCGGATCGTTTCAATGCGGTTTGAAATTTCATACTCGGCGCGATGTTCATTTCTGGAACAATCTGGCAGAGATTAAGAAAATCATCCTCTTCTTTAAATTGGAAAGCATTCAGGTATTCTAACATGGAGAAATCTCGCAGGATTGTCTTATTTATTCATTAAATTAATCGTTATTAGAAGAATTTCGACTGTTTCAATTGTCGTAGTATAATGTTGTATAATCTTGCAAAATTGTGAAACGTGATGTGCAAGAAGTTGAAGGCATTCAAAGTCACAATCAGAAGTTTTCGTAAAAAAACTGATCAATGACGAATTTGTTTCAACAGGGATAAGAAAAACTCGGAATCTGTGGTTGTTACGCCATTAGGGATTTCCCCTTGGTTAGCCGCCGTCGTACTGATTCCTGACTTCTCCCAGCGAGACGAAAAATAATCTCTTTTCTTCTCGTCTGCCCCTTCCAGCGTAGAACGCCCGCTGCGGACGTCAAAATATGACAGCTCTCTCGGGTCACCACTTTCCGCGACAAGAGTTGCGTTCAAGGGGGTTGCGACGAGCGATCATTAAAATAAAGCGGCGCTCGCCACCGCTGTGCTCTTAACTACGTTTCCTCTTCATATATCGCTCCAGACAAATCCTTTCCGCATGAGTAATATTCAATTTCTGTTGAAAAGTCTTATCTATACAGAACAACATAAGACTTTGTATTTGATTATCTCAACTGTTTCGCAATTTTGCGCAAGACCATCATTTATAATATACTCAAGTATTCTTTCTTACATACAGAATAGAATACTTGTTGCAAAATTATGGATAAATTGTCGAGCAAAAATTGAATGTTACTTTTATTGTGATCCAGTTCATTTGTACAATGCATTATATAGTATAAAATATCGTCAACAGATGATTAATGAGTTAATTTGGATAAATTATGTGGTAACATGATTCGTACATTTGCAGCTTAAATGAGCGATTGCAATGAGAGCCACTGTGGTACGCGGTTAAGCTGACGGAAACGGTAAATGGTTCGCATCCAACCCCCTCGACGAGACGCTAATTCATATTCATAGGTGTAGCGTTTAGTATTGTGCTGCTGTGATTCTCGGGAGAGTTTGCACGGAGAAGAACGTCGAGAAAGAGAAACATCAAGTTACATTAACTTGTCGCATTGTCGACGTGCACGGACTCACTGACATCGTGAAATTTTGCTCCGGTTTAGGTTACGAATAATAATAAAGATATTTTCCGATTACACATATTACATCATATTCGAATAATTAAATCAATTGTTGAAATTTAACATTACAACGACCGGTTGCTCCTAGGAATAACTATTACCAAAAAAAGCGGCAAGTTTTGTTCAGAATTTATAATCGATCTTTAAGTGCTGAAAATCGCATAATGTTATGACATATTGAAACTTGTATGACGTCACTGTCGCGTCATCCATAATTAAACATTAAAAATCACAGCACATCACTGATTATTTGTAGTGTCAATAAAATAAGGAAAAATACATATAAAATAAATAAGTAATGTGAACTTTTTCTATCGATATAAATGACTCATAATAAAATTAGCAATTTTCCTACGATATTTAAGATTTCTCACGATATTTGAAAATAGGCGATTGTTCTGCCATCTCCAGGTAGAACAGGAAATTAAATTTATCACTGGATATAGTAGATTCAATAACTCGAAAGAATAGTGAACATAAAATGGTATAATAATAATATTAAATCCATAATGATTCACTATTATCCTACTTTATTAATTTTATATTTTAATGCATGAGAAAATACTGAATGAATATAGATTTTCTATAATATTAAGGTCTATAAAATTTTATACAAAACGCATATTTTATTTGATATTTCGATATTACCGAAATATTGTCTATGTCAGCTTTTAAATGTTTTGAATATGTATATAACAAAGATATACTAATAAAAATTATTTACAAAATATTAATTACATATACTATGTTTATCTTAATTTTAAATAACTTATTATATGATGATTCTTATACATCATGTATGAAACTTTTCGTAATTTATTACATAATAATAATAATACTTTTATAGTGCATAATATATAAATAAGATTAGAAAAAAAACGTAATTAAAATGCACTGTTAATGCATAAATATTGCATTCTTAAGATCATTATATTGCAAATAAATTACCTAACGATGTAGTTAGTTACAATCCTCCTTCATTCTTTGTTGGTATTATATTAGGTTTACGAATATGGTGATAAGTTGGTAAAATTTTTAACAAAAATTCTATTTGACTTATTGGAGGCTGAAATAAAACATAAAATCACAAAACGGCCAAATTTCATTTATAACAAGATCTACTGTTTGATAGAAACTCACATATGGTTTATCGTGCATTTCCCTACGTTGACATTCATTACCATATATTATTGTATTTTCTGGTATTGTATCTGATTCTGTTAATGAACATGATGCTCCTATAATACAACCATTGGTCAATTCAACCTCACGACCAACGTATGCTGTAAATAAAAATAGAATTTTTCATAAAATATCTTAGAAACAAATAACTTTCTTATTACAGTATAGTTACCTTTGCTTTCTAAAATATTATGATCTCCAACTTTAAATGCTTCACAAGTACAATCAGTTTCAAATACATTGTAACTGCCTATTATTTGTACTGGAATTGTAGTTGGTTCTGGAGCATCCACTGGTAATCTGTAACATTATAATTAAATATTTTGGTCAAATAATCAAAGGCAGAAAAGCAAATGAAATGTTTGAAATTAAAATTACCTATTTGTTATTGTTGCCATTTCTTCTATAATGTTCCCTTCACCTATTATAATGGGACCAGCTTCCGCAATGATACTTGCCCTTGGATGAATTATGGTTTTTGGTCCAATGGTGATATCTCCTTTCAAAATACTTTCCTCGCATACTAAAGCTCCTACCGCTATTTTCACGCTGTAAAAAGATTACGTTTTCCTATTTCATAATACAGTAATTACACACAACAGACTTAACCTCAAAAGCATAAGAATGAATCTATCGAGTTTAATAATTAAATATAATATTTTCCTAATTATTTAGAATATTTTCTTAACTATTTCAATGAAAAATTAGTGAAACGTAAATAATTTGAACAAAATTTCTAAATTTTCTTACTTTGTACGACGACTGACAAATGAACTCATTGTTAGCAGCTGACACTGTAAACGCCCCCCTTGGTGATTTCGGAGAATTAATCGATGCAGCGCGGGCTTCTTCAAATAATTTAAATTTATAATAAATTCATACTAGCAATAAGATATAAGTGTATGATACATAAACTTTCTCTTATTCCTTGTAGGATATACTAATAATTTATTAAACATTGAAAATATATTGTAAAACGACACAACAAATTTGAAAAGGATTCCATAATTATAAAGTGATTGAAATTTAAGTTTTTTGATTAAGATTGAAATTTAAAATTTGTAAATAGTATGCAATTGATGAATATGTTGTAGAATCTACAAATAAAATTTAAATCAATAAAACTGAAGATATAATAAACCATGGAGAATTATCGCAAAATGTTATTTGCTAATTATCGATATACACGTATTCTGTTTCTTTTAATAATTTATTCTGTAAATTAAAAAAAAAAAGAAACAAGGTGTATCAGAAGTGTAATAGAATTACACAGATGTAACTAGATACAAAATTACCTCGAGGAAATGTTAAAAGGATTAAGAAAGTTAAGGAGATGAGAATTAAGTTGAAAAGGGTGAGTCGATAGCGCGTGAGCCGCGCCACCCTAAAGAACATAACTCCTTCACTCGTTTTTTCTTTTTTTTTTTAATCGATATTTAATATAACTCTATATTATCCGTCAACTTTTATTTATATATATTATATATATATTTTTATATATTATATATTATAAAATTTAACTCCAAATTGCGATAATAACGTCTAATTGCAACGTGCGTGCGCGTGTACGTGTTGCGCCTTTGTGTGTGTGTGTTTTGCATTAATTTTTTTCTTCAATTCTCTCTCTCTCTTTCTCTCTCTCTCTCTCTCTCTCTCTCTCTCTCTCGCTTTCTCACTTTCTCTCCCCCATTCGTTTCCTTTTTTGTGATTTTTTTTTGTTGTCTTATTATTTTGTCTCTTAAATCGATTATCTCCGACGTCTAAGTAATGTAACTGTCTCGTGTGTATGTATATGCGCCTGTATGTGTATGTATGTTATACCAGTGTATTTTGTACGCTGTGTATACACGGGTGGATTTGGTGGTTGTGGGTGAAGGATTACAGGTGGTAATGTATCTTGCACTCGCGCGTACGTGACTGTGTACGTGTTTTTCTTTATCTACAGTTAAACGAATTCTACGCACTTACTCGTTAATCGGCAGAATAATATGCATTTCTTAATTTCGCTATAAGTATATTTAAACCGTCCGAAAACGTGTCAGTCGGCGCACCGTGACGGATTCGCCATCGCTCTCGTCGAGCCTTCTTCTTTTTTTTCCAATTTGTTCGATTCCTTTTTCTTCTCCTCTTTTTCCCATGCTTGCCTTCTCGTTGTTTCTCACTCTCTGTTTTCCTTCCCCGTCTTTCTTCACGATCCGGCATAATTCTCGCGCGTCTCCGACGTTTCAGTACGCGACATCTCGTATGAGAACATCACGTTTCCCTCTTGCACTTTTGAACGATCGTCGTCACGTTTTTTTCGTTTCTCCTCTTTTTGTTTGCGTCTCAACACGTCGCTCGACTCGTTCGAAGGATTCGAAGTGATGATTAAAAAACCGAATAATCCCTGAAGTAGCGCGCCCTTTGAGGTAATGTAATTATTAAATGGTTATTGCGGTTAAATGACATTAACGTGAGACGCGAGTTACTCATCCCCCCCCCC